GAGAGAGAGAGAGAGAGAGAGAGAGAGAGAGAGAGAGAGAGAGAGAATCTCTTTAATGTTTTATTTTTTGGCAGATACAACATCTTTATTTGTACGTGGTGCTGAGGACTGAACCTGAGCCGCACGCATGCCCTGCGAGCGCGCTACCACTTGAGCCACATCCCCAGCCGCCCCCAGTCCTCTTTTTAAATATACTTTATTTAGAGATAGGGTCTCCCTGAGTTGCTTAGGGGCCTTGTTAAGTTGTTGGCTTTGAACTAACTGATCCTCCTGACTCAGTCTCCTGAGCCCCTGGGATTACAGGTGTGAGCCACTGTACCTTGCCGTAACACTGCTTTGAATGGGATGATTTATTTGATTAGGGACTAAAGGGAAAAAAAAGATAGAAACTGAGCCACAAAAGAAGCTTGAGTGCAGGGTCAGTTACACAGCTGCCTCACAGTTTGCTCCATTTACGGTTTCCCTTTCATTTGGTTCAGAACAGGCTGGAATTTTCATAAATAACTTCTATGGAACTAAAGAAAAAAAAAGAAAATGAAAACAAAGAGATGGCAGATTCTGCACAATTCAGACTCTTGAACCCTATTTTAAACCAAAGTCGTGGCATGATTAGTTAGATGACACAGCTTCTTGTGTCCTACATAGTTTCTGCTGTTAGCTTCACCTAGTCTGGATCATGGGTAAATATTAAACTATTTAAACTGTAAGAAGGAAGTAGATTTATATTTATGCTGGCCCAATTTGGAGGCCGAAGGGTGGAGAAGAATCAAGCACTCCTTGGTACTGATTGCTCTTGTTCTCCTCAGGTTGGAGCTGCAGATTACCCTACCTGCTAGAATATTTGTACTTTAGCTAAGTAATTCTCTAATTACCCTGATGGTGGCCTGTCCGTTCAAACAGATCCCTCAACTGAGCTTTATGAGGAGAATCCACTTGTTTTGCCTTTGCTTATTCTCCTTCACTGTCACTTATTTTCTCTGGCTGCTCCTCTCAGCACTGAATGCTATGCTGAAAACCCCATGTCTCCAGGCCCCACCCTGTTTGTTTCCTGAGAGAGAGAGAGAGGGGGGGGAAGGGGGAGAGAGAGAAAAAGAGAGAGAGAGAGAGAGAGAGAGAGAGAGAGAGAATTTTTTAAATATTTATTTTTTAGTTATCGGCGGACACAACATCTTTGTTTGTATGTGGTGCTGAGGATCGAACCTGGGCCAAACACATGCCAGGCGAGCGCGCTACCACTTGAGCCACATCCCCAGCCCCTGTTGCTTTCCTCTTCATCCCGTTTACCAACAGTGCACCCACTCTCCACTTATGTCTCCATGGGTTCTGCCCTTCAGTGATGCTCTTCTTTCCCTGGACAGCTGGGCTGTCCTCTGTGCAGCATTCACAGCCACCATTATTGTCTCTAGGGCCTTCTCTGTAACACATCACACAGCTGCTTTCTCTTCCTGTTTCAAAGTGTCTCCCTGTGGCTCCCCAGGAGGTTTCCTGCCTGGTGGCTGTTTTCTATCTGGGCACATTTCCAGGGTGCTGACCTGCCTGCCTTTGGTTTAAGCCTTCCCAGTTTTACGTTCCCAGCTTCATAGCTTCCTCCTATTCTCTGATGACTCAAATGAGTCCTCAAGGGGGCTGCATGTGGTCCATTTCCCAGAAATCTAGGACCATATTTTTATAGTCACAAAACTACTTTGAAGATAGAAGTAAAAATAAGATCCTTTCCAAAAGGAAGAGAAGAGTCATTCCCTGTGAAACTGTCTTGATCAGACAGGGACAATGGGGACAGGTTCTGTTTGAAACAAGTGAAGCAAAAGGGAGTGAGGTGGTTTCCATGGGGGCAGGTGTGCCAGGAATGCTGATGAGGGAGAAGATGAAAGACCCTCCTGTAGGAAAGGCTGTGAGTTTATATGAAGCAAAGAGAAAGTCTGGAATTTAACTCTTCTGTATAATTAATATGAACCAATAAAATCAATCAATAAATGGTTTACCTGATAGTTCAGGGCTGAAGAGAAGTCCTTCCTCTCAAAAGCCTCCAGCATCTCGTTTGTCTTTTTTCCTAGGTAGTTATAGGTGCTGGCAAGACAACAGCAAATACTGCAGGGTCAATAACTCAACTGGAAAGGTACAGATCTTCACCACTGCTGTTTAAAAAGGGGAAAAACAAAACAAAACAAAACAAAAAAACCCAGACTGCCGTAAGTCTATTTTTAGGTCCTAATCTATAGGGGACCAGGTTGTCTTTAGTTCTGAGCCCTCTAGCAACATAAAGCAGTGTCCTCAGAGAAGGCAGAGAACACCAAAAGGGACAAAGAAAAAAGAGAGAAAGGTTAAAATCAGGAAAAACAGAACAACAGAATGTAAAAGCTGGAGGTGTACTTGGTTGGGAATGATTAAGGCTAACACCTGCCTGCCCTAAGGGCACATGCAGGGGGAGATGCTAGGAAACTGTGGACAAAATGTAGCACCTGGGAAGAGTCCTAAAAGCCATCTGCTGAGAGCTGGGTGTGTGGAGCGCCACATAAGACCAGCAAATCCCAATAAAGTGTCTAAATTCCTCTCCCACTTACATTATGTTAATTTGGAGACAGGATTCCAGAGAGTAGAGGATATAAAATGAAGGACCATTTGTTAAATGCCTATCATATTCCAGGGGCTTCACACAAATCAGATTTAGTCCTCTCAGAGCTCTGGAAGGTAATTCTGGTTTCTATTTTGCTCAAAAAAGGACTGCCTAGTTGCTGTGGAAGTGGTAGGAACAGGAGGGTAAGGGAATCAATCTACAAAATGGGCCCACAGTGCTGAGCCCCACAGGTTTTTTTAAAATTATTTTTTAGTTGTTGATAGACCTTTGTTATTATTTTTTAATTTACTTATATTCGGTGCTGAGAATCGAATCCAGAGCCTCACATGTGCCAGGCAAGTGTGCTACTGCTAAGCCCCAGCCCCAGCCCCAGCCCCCAGGTTTTCACTTTCAAAAAGCATTTGCCTGAAGCCCTGCCTGGTGTAAGTCCACAGGATATGTTAAATTCCTTAGTAAAAAAATTCCCTGTTATCTGCAGAAGAAATGCAGGCCCAGAAATGCACATAAAAGCAAAAATTACCCTCAAGAGAAGGATTTTTGTGACCCTTAAAGAGACCAAATCCCAGAACTTGAAGAGATAAGGATAATTTCCCCTAACCATAAAACCTGTAAGAACAGGTGCTGAATATGTCAAAATACACTTTACTGTCAGGTATATCTTTTTTTTTTTTTTTAAATGGTGCTGGGGAGAAATTTAATTATAAATAACAGGGCCTTGTGCATGCCAGGCAAGTGCTCTACCAATTGAGCTATAACCCCAGCCCCTGTCAGGCATATCTTTATTTTTTTTTATTTTTATTTTTTTTTAAAGAGAGAGTGAGAGAGGAGAGAGAGAGAGAATTTTTTTAATATTTATTTTTTAGTTCTCGGCGGACACAACATCTTTGTTTGTATGTGGTGCTGAGGATCGAACCCGGGTCGCACGCACACCAGGCGAGAGTGCTACCGCTTGAGCCACATCCCCAGCCCCAGGCATATCTTTAAAAAAGATTTTTTTCAGCTGTTAATGGACCTTTTATCTTATTCATTTATTTATATGTGGTGCTGAGAAGCAAACCCAGTGCCTCACACGCTAGGCAAGCCACCACTGAGCCACAACCCCAGCCCCCATTGTTCTCTTTGGTTCCCATTTTCCTTGGGCAGTGTACTTTGTCGGAGAATAACTGTTTAGATGTTAGTAACCATTCTTTTTTTTTTTTTTTTTGTACTAGGAATTGAATTCAGGGGCATTCAACCACTGAGCCACATCCCCTGCCCTATTTTATATTTTATTTAGAGACGGGGTCTCACCGAGTTGCTGAGCACCTCACCATTGCTGAGGCTGGCTTTGAACTTAAGATTCTCCTGCCTCAGCCTCCAGAGCTGCTGGGATTACAGGTGTGGGCCACTGTGCCCAGCTTTAATAGCTATTCTTTAACTTGTACTCCACTAGGGTCACTTTGATCCATTTCTCTTTTGATTATGATTATGGAAAATCCCATGAGAAATACTGAATGATAATAAAAATAAAATGATAAGGACATTGCATTGTTTCACTAATGGCTTTATTCAGCCTCTGTACTCCTGCTGGCTTGCTGGTTGCTACGTCAACCTGGATGTGGTTTTTGCCTTTAAAAACCCTAATATGTTAAAGGTCAAGGCTGTTTCCTGCAGAGTCAACTTGGTCCTATAGAGAGCAGTCCTGGCCAATCAGACAATAAAGACTCTTCAATTTCTACAAAACTGGGACTTGGTGTGTTTTCTGAGCGACCTGCCCCACAACAAACCCTGGCCCTTTGGGGGACACTTGACTAGACCAGGCAGTGCTATTTAATGATATTCTAAGGGGCCATTTTTGGGCAGCAATGACTGGCCAGGGGCATGCTGAAGTAAAGAAAGCCCACCTGGGGAGAGAGAACGAGAAGAGAAATAAAGAGGTGGAAAGGAGGCAGAGTGAGGGTCTTGGGAAGAATCCAGATGCAGGATGACTTGCCTTGGCTGTTGATAACTCTGTAGTTCCTGGTTCCTCTCTAGGGTCTGGTTTTTCCTCCTCATGGTTTTATGTAATCTCTCATTATTTTATAATAATTTTCCTTTTTAAAAAAAAAAATCTAAGGTAGTTTGAGTGGGTTTCTGTTATTTATAATTAAATTTCTGACACAGACAATGTAAGTACATCCTTGAGACACTGATCATCAGGGTCTGCAGCACTAAGGGCTGAACCCAGGAGCTCATGTGTCTCATCTCTAACTGCAATGGAAAGCTTCTACGTAAGGATGACCTAGTTTCTAACCAACTGCTGAGCCCTACTTAATTCCCTTTCCCTGAACAAACATGGGAACAAAAGATAACTTCTATTAGAAAGGATGTGTATGAAAGAAATAAAACTACTCCATTGATGAGTGCCTTCCTGTGGGACTTTAAATGTATAATGGCTAAGACAAATGAGTCATGCTTACCTGCCCACTGCTCCAGTTGCTCCCATTACCAGACCACTCAGCAGTTGCTAATGAAAAATAGACAAAGAGAATTCACTTTTAGGAAAAAGAGAAGAGAAACTCGAGTATATCAATCATTACCTGAACTGGAGGGAAACCGACTTGCTGTGTCAGGGGTGACTTACCTCATCCACCCCAAAGAGCAAAGAAAACTGTCGTTGGTGATTCTGATCAACACACTGGCCGAAGTCTAAGAGATCTGTGTCACTGAATTTCAGCCCTTGGAAGGTGGGGATCTTATCCTGAATCCCATCCAACAATTCCTCTGCACGAACTGCTCAAAACAATAAATACCTCCTTAATCTACACAGCCTCAGAAAATATCAAACAACATTTCCTAGAGATCTACATCAGCCCTGAGCTGCCACTGGCTGCGTCAGCTGGACTGGCTGTAGATGGCATAAAAGCTTGCCTCTGTCTAGTAGCTCCTAGGTACCTTTCAAATTATAATATTTAGCTTTCCATTCCTTGAGGGCAGTCGATGGATATTTGTGACACTGTCAATACAATATTTGATTTCTGCTCCCAATTCCTGCAACAGAGCTCCTGAAACCTTTGTAGACAGAGGTGCTAGGAGGAGTTATTGTTCTTATATTCGGTTTTTGACCCTGGTTTCTTACATATAGCTGCTAAGATGTTTGGAATTTCCTGAGTGATAGGTGCATCTGACCATTTTTACATCCCTTAGAATTTTTTGGCTGATAGGAGCATTTTGTTTTAAGGAGTTGACTCCTGATGGGTTCTTAGACTCTGGATGCAGGTTGGTTGAAGACCATGTGATTAGAGGGTTGGGACTTTCGGTCCCATCCCTTAACCTCTGGGTAGGGGATGGGGTGGAAGGTTGAACTGAACACCAATGGTCAATAATGTAATCAAGCATGTCTACCTAATAAAGCCAAAAGACAAGGTTTAGACAGCTTCTGAGTAGCAGAACGTGTGGAGGTTCCTGGTGGATGGCACTCCCAGAGAGGACATGAACTTTTGCTTACCCTTCCCACATGCCTTATCCTATGCATCTCTTCATCTGTATCCTTTGTAAGTCCCTTTGTAGTAAGATAAGAATAGGTAAAGAGTTTCCTTGAGTTCTATGAGTTGCGCTAGCAAATTAATCACACATGAGGAGGGAGTTGTGAGAACCCCAACTTATTACTAGTTGATCAGAATCACAGGTCACAACCTGGGACCTGAGCCGGCATATAAAGTGGGGACAGTTATGGGATTGAGCCCGTGGGATCTGATGCTAACATGAGGCAGACAGTGTCAAAATATAATTAAACTACTAGATACCCAGTTAGTCTCCATTGGAGAACCTGCTGTTAGGTAGGGAGAAATCCATGACCCCACCCCCCTACCCCATTCCATGTTGGTGACCAGAGGTGACATGTTTGGTAGTATGTGATGAGTGTGAGAGGAAAGAATGGGAAAAACTGTTTATTTTCTCTGAATGTTTATAATGCATAGCCTTCCATTTTTCTTTTGTGGAATTTGGAAAAGGAGGGGCTTTAAAAACTAATCTCCTAACAAATTTCATCTAATTGAAAAAGTCTTCTCCCTGGAGAAGAACAGTAGAAATGAAAGAAAACTAGAAGAAAATTCAGAAAAGAATACAGTACCTTGGCTCTGGAGAGGCACTGAGAGTGCAGGAGGTAGAAGGTAGACGCAGTCCTGCCCTTGTGGGGCTTTTGGTCTTGGATCTTCTCATATGAGAAGAAAGAGGTGTTTTCTGTTAAGGGCTGAGAGGTCAGTCCTTCTTTCATGCCTAAGAACTGGCACCATGAGGTGGTGTGAATCATGGCAAAGGGCTGGGTATTAGAGGGACTCACTTTGGAGTAACTGAAGCTGCCTCATCAATGGTGCTATGGGTAGCGTGGGATGGAGTGGGGCTTTCTTGGGGTAAGGGTTGGAGGAAGCGTCAAGAGAACCAGTACTTACTCTTTACCCCCGTCAAGGCAGGAATGTGATAGTAATAGAATGGCAATGCAGGGGCAGATGCTGCCACCTCTTTTAGAAAATTAATCAGGACATCTGAAAGTACAGGAGGAAAAGTCATGGCGTGAACAAATGGAAAATAGTGGCTTTCCCTGGCCAAAAAAAAGAAAAGAAAAAGAAAAAAAAAAAATCATCGGATGGACACAACCATCCTTCACAGAAGCTGAGCAGTCCTGATCACACCTAGCTTTTCTGACATTGCTACTGCAGTATCTTAACACCTCAATCCATTCAAAGTTTTATTTCCCTCTTTGAAGAAAGGCTCAAATAAGATGATTATTTTCTTCCTATACATATTCAACAACAATTAAAAAATTGGGGCTGGAGGTGTAGCTCAGCAACAGAGTGCATACCTAGCATGGGATTGATTCCCAGAGCATGAGTGTGTCTACATGTGCGCGCACGCGCACACACGGAGCAAAATATTAGTGCAAACTTACCCATGCTTAAGAGACTGAAAAGACAAATTCTAGTAAAAATCAAAATGCCCATCACTAGAATGCTTCTCTCTTGAGAAAAACAGTCCCATACATTGCCCTGGGTTTGACACCCTAGGCTACTGTCTAAGGCAGAAGTGGAAAAAAAAAAAAAAAAGAAAAAAAAAAAAGAAAAAATAAGGCAGAAGTGGACACCTGACCCAAACATAGGCACGTACCAACTGAGGCTCAGTAGACAACTCAATCAGATTACTTGGTGAAACAACTGAAGTACTTTAATACAATCTCTGCTGTGGATCTAGGGGTAGAAAATATTCCAGAGAACCACTGTACCACTGCCATCTCCAGTCTGAGATGAGTTTAAACTTCATGAGTTTAAACACAGTCTTTCTGAATGGAAGCAAGGAGTAGATAGCGCAAGGCACTGCGCATTCAGAGCCATCTACTTACCCTTGTTCCACGGCTTGAGAAAGAAAGGTGCAATGACAGCAATGCCATCAGCTCCAATTTCTGCTGCATGCTGGGCCTTTGTAATGAGAGAAGATCATACTAGTGACCATCAGTGATTTATCACAGTCACCTACAGCTTAGATATTAGAGTTCAGCAACAAATTCTTCAAATTTGCCAACTAATGCACCAGTAGAGAGTGGAAACAATGATTGAATATAATGAAAATGTTATTGCTAGGAAAATCCTAGGATGCAAACTAGAGATGCCAGGTAGAGGTAAGCTGGGTATTTAATCTTACAAATATTTGGATTTTTTCAGTACAAAACACCTTGCTGAGGAGACATGAGTAGTTTATTATAACTGTTAACAGAGAAATTTCAGTATGTAATCTCTACTGTTCAGCCTACTGTATCATATTATCTTTCCCATCTAATGGCATGGCAGTCAAGTTTAATATTTATATTGCAAATTGAGAGTACAGTGGAGAAAGTTAAAAGAAAAAGATTATACACACCACAAAAGATACATTGCACTAAGCTTCTAATGCTTCATCAAATTTCTCTTACTGGGCCTTTGTGATATTTTTAATCTATCTCAAGTAGAGTACCTAAACCCTCCATATTGTAAGAGAGCTGTGTATGGTCACTTTATACTGCACAGAGCCTGCTTCTCAATGGTGGCTTCCTAAGGTGCCACACCTATCTCCTCCAGCACAGCATCCACTACGTACCATATACCACATATAGTACTGCAAGTAATTTCATCATAAAAACAGAGGTCCCTTGAGTGGTCTCTCCAGAGTGGAACAGCATACATACCAGTTCTTGGGACTCCTTCAAGCTCAGTGCCCCCACGTGAATCACCACCTGATCCAGCCTGCAAGGAAGCAAACATTGATGAGTTACTTGAAGTTTAGAACACAGAGGGCTCCACCAATCTGGTTTGTGCTAGTTTTAGCAGTTAGTTAATGCCTTACTAGTCTCAATAGCAAGACTATTAAAATTCTACAGTGATCTAGCGCTTAATCACTGAGCCACATCCTCTTTTTTTTTTTTTTTTAAAGAGACAGAGAGAGAGAATTTTAATATTTACATTTTAGTTTTCGGCAGACACAACATCTTTGTTTGTATGTGGTGCTGAGGATCGAACCCGGGCCACACACATGCCAGGCAATCGCGCTACCTCTTGAGCCACATCCCCAGCCCCTGATCTTTTTTTAAATAAAAAATATTTAATACAAAAATCATAATAAAATTAAAAAGTATTAACTGCATTACAAAGTGAAAGCATTAAAAGGTTACAGAGCTTTTAACTTAGTATTTATAAAAATGAGGCAAGAATGTATCTCTTTTTGTCCTCAGTAAATAAGCTGGCCACTAAAATTATTTTAAATTGTCCCTTTCTTCCCATTTTATGAAAGCTCATTAGATATTGCTATTGATTCTATCTAATCAGAAGCACCTGGCAATGTTTAAGTTTTCTGTATACTGGCAGTTTTAAGCTACCTATTAAGTGTATTTAAAAAGAGAATTTTTGTACATCAAGACCAGCGATAGCAAAGCAGTTCTCTCAGGATAGAAAGGCCATCTAAACTAACTCACACTTCACTCAAGACACCTGGAAACAGAATGCTTTCCTAGTCAAGAGCTTCACAGCAAGGAAAGAATAGAAACATCCAGAAAAGGGCCTGTGGTAAACAATACAGGCTCTGCTAGGTAGGCACAAAGAACTCGTGATCAGCATCCAGGACACCCCAGAGCTTAGTCTACCAAAAGCCTAACAGCTTCTAATAGCTTCTTCAAGGTGTTATAGTTTACATCTGGAATGTCCCCAAAGTCTCACATGATAGAGGCTTGGTGCCCAATGCAACATGTTCAGAGGTGAGGCTTTTGGGAAGTGACTGGGTCATGAGGGCTCTGAGCTCATCAATGGATTAGTCTACTGATGGGTTCATTGGGATGCCTGGCAGAGGTAAACTATGGGACCCCTGGGATGTGGTGGAATCTGTAGGAGGTGGGGCCTCCTACAGGAAGTAGGTCACATATCTTGTCCCTGACCCCTTGATTTCTCAAGGTCTCCTGCCTGTGATGAGGTGAGTGGATTTGCTCCACTGTATGCTTCTGGCCAAAATGCCCTATCTCACCATGGGCCCAGAAGCAATGAAGCCAGGTGACAATGGACTGAAATTGCTAAAACTCTGAGCCAAAATAGATCTTTTGTCCCTTAAGTTGATATTTCTCAGGTATGTGGTCATAGTGACAGAAAGCTGACTAACACACAAGGCAACAATAGATTTTAAAGTTGTTCCTCTATACTTGTTTTTTTTTTTTTTTTTCAATGCTGGGGATTGAACCCAGGACTTTGTGCATATGAGGGATGCACTCTACCAACTGAGTTATATTCTCAGCCCCTGTTCCCCTACACGTGATCCTTTTAACAAACCACAAGTAGAAAAGGTTGGTGTGTAGGCTCATTTTATAGATAAGAAAAACAGAATTAAAAAGTTCCAGACTAGGGGGCTAGGGGCATACCTCAGAGGTAGAATACTTGCCTAGCATGTGCAAAGCCTGGGTTCAGGACCACATAAAACAATAAATAAAGAAAAAAAATTAATTAATTTTAAGACTGAGATTCCGAGTTGGTGGGATAATTTTACTGCATCTCTATCCGACAAGAGGCACTTAATAGCACTTAGCTATAGACTAACGAGCTCTGTTCAGAGAGTCTATGATTTTACTGAACCAAGTGCTGAGGAGTCCAAGAAATGTTTCATTTCCCCTTTAAAACATTTTCTATTGGTTTTAAAGGGGAAAAGAACAAAAGAGAGACTTTTGATTGGTATTAAAAGTGGAAAAAATGAGGCCAACTACAGGGAAAAAGAACCATGCTCCCAAAGGAAAAGGGAAGGCTGACCTCAATCTCAGTGCTGAGAGACAGGGAGCTAATCCCCATCCCCCCTTGGCACAAAAGGAAGCCTCAACTTCAAACTGCCACCTTACTAGACAACAGCTCTGACCTCTCCGCTTCCTCTCTGCCAAAGAACATTCCCCAAGAACGAAAGAGGAATCTCATGCAAAGATACTGTAGTTAAAACCATTCAGGGTGATATGCCAACATCCAGAAATAGTAACTCTGAACTAAGAGGATAAAAGCGACAGTAAGGGGGAGGAAGGGGAAGTGTCTATTGACATCAGTTACCACTGTAAGGCCTTAAGAATACAGCCCTGGACCTGGTGTGGGGGTGCAGGCCTGTAACCCAGAAACTCGGGAGGCTGAGGTAGGAGGACCATAAGTTTGAGGTGGCCTCAGCAACTTGGTGAGATCCTGTCTCAAAATTAAAAAATAAGAAGGGCCATGGATGCAGCTCTGTGGTGAGTAGAGCTCTCAAATACTATAAAAATTGGGAAAATAGTAAAGACAGGAGTCTGAGGAATTTAAAAAAATGTCCAGGGAATAAAATTTAAGGGTTAGCCAAGCAGTGAAATTTTGAGAATTAATAACTGATTAATCAATACTTGAGGACTTATTTTGATCAAGCATAGCCCCATATTTGACAGTGTCATAAGGAAGATGATAGGTAAAATATTGACATATTTTTGTTTGGAGATAAAGATGAAGAGGTTCTTCCAAGATCATAACTAGGAATTAGTCTAACGAGAAATGAATTCACTGTAAAAAGCTGTTTCTTATCATTTAAGCCTCAGAATTTGACCAGAAGAGATGTTTGCTTTGAGATCCCAATATTCATCTTTGGGGGTACTCCATGTGACCCTGGGGGAACAGCAACAGTGAGACTGGTCTTCTGTGGGCAGGATTAGCAAAGCTTGGCTGTGAATTCCATCACTGAATCCTCTGGTGATCCTTAGCTTGCTGAATCCTGGGGCCTTGCTGGGAAGTGACATGGTCAGGTTTGCATTTCAAAAGAATAGTAAGACTTCAAAGTGGAGGAAGGAAGGCTGACAGGCTGTTCTGCCCTCATTAGTAGTCCCCCCCCCCCTTTTTTGCAGTGCTGGGGATTGAACCCAGGGCCTCACACTTGCTAGGTAAGTTCTCTACCACTGAGCCGCATCCCCAGCCCTCACCAGCAGGAGGCTCCCTCCCTGAGACATGAACTGTTCAGTACCAGAGCTGGGCAGCCAGCTGTCAGTCACCACCCTCTAATCCACTTACCCCTTCATCCCAAGGACAGGTAGCCCTGAGGGGACAAGGACAAGAGGCCATTTTCCAATAGTTTGCCAAGCAGTCTGGCAAGAAAGGAATGCAGTCTCCACAAGAAAGGAAGGGCTCGCCTCACTGAGGTGCAGGATGTCCTGGGCCCCTGCTCAGCTGACCTCCAGCTGGCTTCTGATCTCTGATGGGTGGTGGGGAGGCAGTGTCCCTGGGGAGGGCCTCAGCCAGCACAGGTCTGGCTGGCATACTATGTTTTATCTCCACAGAGCCACTTACTTGTTCCTCCCTTGTGTCACCCACTCCTCTGCGACCTGGCGACGTTCAGAGACACTCAGGGACAGGCCTTCTCCAGTAGTGCCATTCACTGTTCCAAACAAAGAGTCACTCAGTGGGACCAACTCCTGCCTTCTGCTCCTCCACCCCCAAGGACAGAAGTGCAGGGTCACAGATCCCTGCCCAAGGGGGAGGGACACTGAACTATCAGAGGATGGAGGGGGAAGATGCCATGTGCCAGCTTCCACTTCAGGCTCCAGGTTTTTCTGCCCTTCACTTTATCCAAGCAGTGGGAAGATTAATTGAGACTTGCAATTACATGTCTGTCCTTGTTATCAGGGACAGATGGCAAATATTTTAAGTAGAGGAGATAACTACCCACATTTAGGCCAATCTCCAAACACATCACCCAGTTCTCTCTCTGGGCTTGCAGGGCAGGAAAATCAACTCTATCCAGTATTGGCAGGTCATGGGCGGGGAGCCTATGTGGGTGCATTTGCATGCTGCAGATGCCAAGGGACCTGTTCCCAGTCTGACAGTGAGCACAAGGGGTGGCACTAACTTTTGTACCAAAGAACTCAATATTCCCTTATTCTCACAGTCCAACAATGCTGACATTCTTTTCAATTACAGTAGAAAATATGAGGTCAGAAACATGAAATAATTTAAACTTGAACCCAGAGCCGTGTGATTCTGGAACTCATCCTCCTTCCTCTTCCCCTTCCATACAATCATGTCTCAATGATCAGAGGAACAGCCAATGCAGCAGTGTGCGAGACAGAGGCCTCATGTGTAGGGCAGCACTTTGGATCTTGACCTCCAAGCCCTGAGCACTGGGCTGGAATAGGGCAGGCCAGACAGGTGAGGGAGGAGACAATGTTTTTATCCCTCTCTTGGGGGCTTGAGGTACTTCAAGTGTGCTCCCGTCCTAGGGATGCTCCTACTCCATTCCTACGTCCAGGGCAATCTGGGGCCCTCTGAGTAAGAGGGTAACTTGGAGCTGCAGGGGGACACTAAGTGGTTCTGTAATCAGGTCTTGGTTTTGACATGTGGCCTGGCTCAGTTTTACTCACAAATTTTAACCTGAGGTGCCTCCAGGGCCCAAGTATAGTATACTCAGAATGAAACCTAGTCACGGGTCAGAGAGCCTAGAACACCATACGAGAGGTAGCTCAAACACAGTTCTTAGGCTTACAGGGTCTGACTTTTTTTTTTTTTTTAAACCTTCACTCTGAAAGAAATGGGGATAAACACTCTTCCTGTTGAATCTTTTGTGTGCTGTGGCTTCCAGTCTTTCTTCCATTTGTAATTTGAAAGCTCAGGTGCAGACGGACCAAAGCCCACTCTTAAGAGAGCTAAGAGGGTTTTAGTTGTGACTTAAGAGGGCTTAGCTGCTATTCTCCCACATCTTAGTTGAATAACTTCATCGAAAGAGTATAATGGAGCCACAGATTTTCATCTTTCAATGGGAGTGAGAGCAACACCCTATCACTTGGCACCACCAAATGAGATCATTGGTTGAGGGGTCCTACAGGTCTAAGGGGAGACTATAAATTCACAGCTTTGGGTTAGCTTAGTCAGGCTCCACCAGAACTCAGTGGCTCCTCATTGTGTTGTGTCATGGGTCAGTAATGAGGTGAGATCTACCTCCTGATGACTGAGCTCGAGAGAGATCTCAAGGTGACTTACCAAAAATGTTCTTCACTCCTTGTTCTCTCACCAGATAATCCACATACTGACCAATTACTGAAAAGTTGATTTCTCTAAAAGATATGGGAATAAATAGAAAGAATGCTTAGTCCTTTTAGATGGTTATTCGACCCATTCCCAGGTCTATGAAGTACTCTCTTTTATTGACCAGTTTGTAAAATTCTCAGTCTGTTCTGAATAATGGCTGGGATTTTTTTTTTGTTCTCATTTTTCTGAATTTGGCAATTTCTCCATCCAGCTAAATGTGTCTCATTTACAAGTGCAAAATGCTATTAGGTGGTACATGCCTATAATCTCCAGGACTAAGACAGGAGGATTGCAAATTCGAGGGCAGCGTGGGAGACTTACTGAAACTCTGTCTCAAAAATGACAATAAAAAGCCTGAGGTTGTGGCTCAGTGATAGAGCACCTACCTAGCACTTGTGAGGCACTGGGTTTGATCCTCAGCACCACGTAAAAAATAAAGGTATTGTGTCTATCTATAACTAAAACAATATTTTTTAAAAAATGACAATAAAATGGCTGGGGATATAGCTCAGTGGTAGAGAGCTTGCCCAGCATGACCAAGACTCTGGGTTCTGTCCCTAGTCATGCAAAAAAACAAAACAACAAAAACACAAACAAAATTCCCCAACACTATTGATTATAAATAGAACTTTACTTTTTTTTTTTTTTTTTTTTGGTGCTAGGGATTGAACTAGGAGGCACTTTATCACTGAGCCATATCCGCAGCTCTGTTTTGAATTTTATTTAGAGACAGGGTCTCACTGAGTTGCTTAGTGCCTTGCTTTTTGCTGAGGTTGGCTTTGAGATCCTCCCGTCTCAGCCTTCCTAGCTGCTGAGATCTACCTTCTGAGGACTGAGCTAGAGAGAGATCTCAAGGCCACTTAGTCAGCTATGACTAAGTCAAAAATTAAATGTATGGGATGACAGTGTGTGCACCCGGCGAGGCTTTACATTTAAACTTTATCACAAATAATATTTAAAAAACAGTTTACCTAATCCTCACTTGTCCTCTTTTGGGAAGAGTGATGATTTGGCATATAGTGTTATAAGAACCTTTTCTACCTGGTGAGGAATTCCTTAGGCTTGTAAGATAGAGAATTCAATCTGAGAATTTAAGAATTTTAGCACTTAATACCTGTGAAAATCAATGAAGGCTTAAACCAGTCTTCATTTGTTTTACTACTTCTTTTTTTTAATGGTTCTGGGGATTGAACCAAGAGTCTTGAGCATGTGAGGCAAACGTTCTACCAACTGAACAATATCCCTAGCCCTGCATTTGTTTTAAATGAAAGAGGACCAACAGTTGGAAAGGAGCTTTGCTGTCACTTTGCCTCTCAAAGGGTAGTCTAGGGAAGAGTCTGGTGGAGTTGATCGGAATGCAGAATCCCAGCCACATACACGGTCCTACCCAGCCACAATCACAAGATACCTGGACAATGTGCCTGCACTGTGTAGTCTGTGGCAAAATGACCTTGGAAGGATCCAATGCTTAAGGTGATGAGGGTATTTTTTAAAATAAATACTGTGAGCTGATTGTGCCACTGAAACTTTTTTTTCTTCATAAAAATCACACTGATTTTAAAACCTACACACAGACTCACAAACAAGTTGTATTAAGTGTCTGACCCTAGTCAAAGGACAGGTGGGGTGATGGACAGAAATTCAAAGGAAAACTATGGCAGGTGTGGGTTAATGTTGTGTTGCTAAAAAAAAGTACTAGCTGGCTGCCATTTGTACTTCTGTTAGGAGGGCCAGAGAATTCTAATTTAATTTTAGTCTTGTTAACATTCTTTTCATCTTTGCTTACTGTATTCCTTAAGAACAATAACAAAAAATCCGAAGCACCCAGGAATTGGACGTCAACGGAAAAGGAAACAGGAAGGAGACTGAAGAGAAAATACCTGACTGTGAGATTAAAGGGAAAGATAGGAAAACAAAGAATGCAGAGGCAATTACTGCCCACAGGAGCCCAAAGGAGAGCCTGTTCACTCAGGAAAGGGGGTGCTTCAGTGCAGTCACAAGGTCACAGGTATTGGCCTATATCCCTGTACGCCCCTGTCACTGCTCCTACCTGCCCTAGTCTGTGCCTGGTACAAGGTGGTGTTCAACCAAGGCTGGGCATTGGAGTGGCCACATGGACATTTACACTTGCATTATGCTTTCAGATTTCACTATCACACGTTAACTGAGTAAAGGAGATAGTGTATACCATTAATAAAATAGAGAAGAAAAAACAGCTATGACTAAGTCAAAAATTAAATGTATGGGAGTTCAGAAAAGGGCTGATAAACCCCAAGGAGAGAGGCTGGGAAGGAACTGGATCTGGAAAAGTAATGAGGACAAAACCTGATGACAAAACCTTCCCTCTAACAAGGGATTGAACCCAGCAGAGCAATACCACTCATTTACACTTTTATTTTTTATTTTGAGACAGAGTCTTATAGGTTGCTTACAGCCTTGCTAAGTTGCTAAAGCTGGCTTTGAATCTTCAATCTTCCTGCCTCAGCCTCCCAAAGCCACTGGGATTACAGGTGTACAACCATGCCTGGCATCCAGCCTTTTTTATTGAGACAGAATCAAACCAAGTTTCTCAGGGCCTTGCCTAGTTGCTGAGCCTGGCCTTGAATTTGTGATCCTCCAGCCTCAGCCTCCAGAATGGCTGGGATTTATAGCCATGCACCACAGCATCTGGCTTCCTTGAACATTCTTGAAAGCTGCTCTCTGTCCGACCCTATGCTTATGTCTTCCTCTTTCTATACCCTCAGGCAGACCTAGGCCAGCATGTGAAACTCAAAGTCTCTTTCCTCAGTGAACTTCATACTGTCTTATGGCCTGAGTGGATCAGTCTTCCCTATATATTCAACCAGCCTCAGTCCATCCGGCCTTGCTGGGGGACAGGCTCCATCACTGGACAATTTCCCTCAGGCTAGGGATGCTAATCTATGATGCATCATCCATTCCTTTGAGAAAACAGAAAGCACAGCTTGTTTCTTATAAAATGCACCTAACCTACCAGAATGGGATCAATATTAAAATTTTGGGGGCACTGGAAGAATTGCCCAGAAAATATTCTTGGACCCATGACCTTTTGGAACTACCAAATATCCTTAGAGAGACCACAGGTTGAAAAGGAGTGGCCTCTAGATGTGCTCTACGACTTTCACAATGTTAAAATTTCTCTGCACATTAAAAAAACAACAACAAAAGACTACCTGTAAAGCCAGGGTGTCCAGTGATGCCAGGCTGTATTTCCACATAGATGGGAAGAGCAGTCGGGGGCCAACAGAGGCCTGCATGCTCCCTAGGCCACCTCGGGCCTTTCAGATCCCTGCCTGACTCAGCAGCCGCAGCCCTTGGCAGAGACTCAGCAGTTCCAGTCACAAGAGGACCCAGTGAAATCATCCCGAGACATTTTCATATTTGTCACAGAGGTGCCCCAAATGGCAGGTAATCCTTCTCTTTTGGGACATTGTCTCTTCCCTGTTTTCTCTCCCTATACTACTTCATTGTGGTAGCCAGGCCTAATTTCCATGGCCGAAGGCATGGTCAGTTGCCAAATATCAGGAAGTCATTAGAGAGAGTGGAAACGAGACTGGATCATTCTTTCTAACCTCTAGGCATGTGGGGCTAGGTGCTCATAGAAGTGAGGTGACATACTTCTGTGCACATGAGAAGGTTGTGATGCCTCTTCTCATCCTGGGCACCCAAGAACACACCTAATTACTGCCCACGTGGGGGATGGTGGCCCAGACCTAAATTCCATGCTTGCGTTTGCCATTCTTTTTTATTTGGGGGTGGGTAGTGGTACCAGGGATTGAACCTAGGGGGCACTTAACCACTGAGCCACCTACTCATGCCTTTTAAAAAATATTTAGAGACAGAGTCTCACTAAATTGCTTAAGGCCTTGTCAAATTGCTGAAGCTGGCTTTGAACTCCAAGATCCTCCTGCCTCAGCCTCCTGAGACACTGGGATTACAGGAGTGCACACTGTGCCTGGTGACACTCTTAACCCCAAGCTACTTTCAATTCCCTTGGGTGCAGATTTGTTGCTTTGCATCTATAATTGATTGACTGATTTTGATACTGGGGATTGAACACAGTGGTGCTTTACCACTGAGCTACATCCCCAGCTTTTCTTTTAATATTTTGGGATAGGGTCTTGCTAAGTTGCTGAGTCTGGGTTTGAACCTGTGATCCTCCCACCTTAGCCTCCAGAGTTACTGGGATTATAGATGTGCACCATCGTGCTTGACTCCATAATTTTATATACATAAATTTTTAAAACATATTTTAATTGTTAATGGTTCTTTATTTATTTATATGTGATGATGAGGACTTAAACCAGTGCTTGACCACTGAGTTACACCACAGCCCTCCATGACATTTTTTTTTTAAAAGCGAGAGTATGAGAGAGAGAGAGAGAGAGAGAGAGAGAGAGAGAGAGAGAGAATTTTTTTTTAACATTTATTTGTTTTTAGCGGGCACAACATCTTTGTATGTGGTGCTGAGGATCGAACTTGGGCCGCACGCATGCCAGGCGAGCACGCTACCACTTGAGCCACATCCCCAGCCCCATCCATGACATTTTTTTAAAAAATTTCTTTTTAGTTGTAGATGGACACAAGATCCTTATTTTATCTTTTTTTTTTTTTTTTAAATGTGATTCTGAGGATAGAACCCAGTGCCTCAGGCATGCGAAGGGAACACTCCACCACCGAGCCACAACTCTGGCCCTCATGATATTTTTAAAAAATAAAAGTGCTTAACTTCTCACCCCCAGTACAGAGGCTACATAGATTATTTTAAAAAGCACCTGCAATCAGCCAGGTGTGGTAGCCCATGCCTATAATCCCAGAAGCCCAGGAGGCTGAGGCAGGAGGATCTTGAGTTCAAAGCCAATTTCAGCAAAAAGCGAGGCACTAAGCAACTCAGTGCGGCCCTGTCTCTAAATAGGGCTGGGGATGTGGCTCAGTGGCCAAGTACCCTTGAGTACTGCTGAGTTCAATCTCCAATACCCGCTGCCCCCCATAAAATAAAGCATATACA